TATATATATATATATATATATATATATATATATATATATATATATATATATACATATATGTAGGATATATAAGATATATATATATATATATATATATATATATACAGTATAAATATATAATTATAAAAAATGTATAGCAGTAGTATAGGCAGTATACCTCTCTCACCTCATGTTTGCGGCTGAATATAAATTATCATCTTAATTAACGGACAACTAGACTATATCAGGGAAAAGACATCAGCGCAGTTCGGCGCAGAGAAAAGAAAAATAAAAAAGCCCAAGATATGCAGACAGACAGATATTCAAACAGACAGACAGACAGACAGATAGATAGATAGATAGATAGATAGATAGATAGATAGATAGATAGGTCACTGTTTTGACTGACTAAATCTAGCAAATGTTGATATTTAGATGAAATGACAAAATTAAAAATAGCGTAGCCATTAATCAAAAGTGCTGAGATGAGATGTTGTTCCATCTATGATCAAGAGAAAACAATCAGTGTGGGGAAGTCATCTTACCCCATATATGGCTAATAAATCAAGAATGTGCTTGTGAAACAAACTGCAAGACCTTTGGTAGATATAATACTGGAATTAACTGTTATCTTTATTGCTGTGTGTTACTTTTTAAGTGTTTCGGCATGAGAAGTGGTAACATCTTTTGTATGATAAATGTTCCCCATGGAGTTCTGTTAACGGTTCCCACATCTTCAGCATTCACCTATGAAACCACCTTTTGTGTTTGACTGCCTTTAACACAACAAAGTCATGCTATTATCATAATCACAGATTTAACAGAGCCTTTCTGGGTCCGAGAACCAAGAAACATGTTGATGAGCATCTGAAATGCTGGGAGTCTTGTTATTTATGTGATTTGTAAAAATGAACTGAACCAATTACTGTTAAAAAAATGATTAAAAGTTACTTACAGAAGCCTATGTCAGAGAAAATGGTTTTGAGGGCCATCCAATCTATTCTACACTATTTGGGCTCATCTACTTCTGTTTTCAGTGGATTCAGTTTATTTGCTTCATTTTCTCCAGAACTTTCCCTAAATCAGGCTGCATTTTGGACAATCATATAATATCGGACTACCCAGTCATCAAATACAGCAAATATGTCCCTAATGGAAACTCAATGCATGATTCTATATGAATCTCTTGTGTGGCAACGAGTATCAAATAACATCAGTAAACATGCTGAGTTTCTTTGTTGACACAACAATCAACCAAATCATGTTTCTTAGATTGAACAGAATGTTGACCATTTGAGTAGCTAATCGACATTCAATCTCGCGAACAGAAAGTTGACGCTTTAGGCTGCTTGTTCATTCGAACCCTTTGACATGTTGGAGCCCTCAGGAAAAAGACAAAAAAGAGGCAACATACAACAGAGCAGAGGTATTCATGATCACATCTACTGTATACTCTCAACATTAAACGCCTTTCATTGTCATGAGGCCTTTTGTCTGTGGTATTCAGTTCCTCTTTGAACAGAAATGGGCATTTTTGTGGGTAAAATGACGGAAGTATGATTCAACTAAACTGTTAATATCACAAAACAGTTTTATAGTTGTGTTATTTTAGAAACTTTTCTCAAACTTCTTTGCTTCAAGTTCTTTAAAAGAAATTCAAAAGAACCTGATGCTTCCACCATCAAATAATCAGAATATTTCACCCAAAAATAAAAATTATATCATTTAATCTTCCTCATGTCCGTTCCAAGCCAGTATGACACACACACACACACACACACACACGCACACACACACACACATTTTCATGTTTTATGCGTACGCTCCATAGATCTGGAGAGATCTTCATAGATTCTGCTGCACAAATGGTATTTTCTATCCCCTTATCCTAACCCTACCCCTCACACAAAACATTATGCACCTTTAGATTGTCAAAAGCCTTAATTCTGTATGATTTATAAGCTGTTTTCCTCATGGGGACATAAAAAAAGGTCCCCACATGGTCAAATTTTATGGTATTACTAATAGGTAATAGGATATTTTGTGTAAATAGGGCCTTTCGCACCGCTTTAGTTCCAGAACTAAACGTACGGTACTAAAGTACTGGGACGATTTTGCATGAACTATTTCCCAGTACCATTTAAAGGGTTGCATTCGCACCGAGAGTGTGTACTAAGAAGTGACGTAAGCCGGTCAACAGCGTCGTCATTTGTGCGTGGCGTTCAACAACAGAAACAAATAAGGAGGATGGAGGACGCTGTGATCGGAGCTGTGTTTTTGTTGTGTCTTGCGGGTTTCACAATAAT